ACTAAATATTTCTATTTCAAAATTCATATCGAATTATATTTTTGACAATGAAAAATTATAAAAATAAATATATTTATTTTTGTATATAAAATATAAATAGATATTTATTTATATATATATATATATAATATAAATATAGATATTTATATATACGTATTTACATTTTTTTAAAATTAGTTTCATGGAAACTTTCATTAGTTTCACTTCATTTTATGGACGCCCGATTTGGGCCATGACAAGATTTTTACGCAGGGTGCAGAAATTTTAAACTGGCCCTGACAGGGCCTAGATTAGAGAGATCATATCCGCTAAATACATACTAAAAACCGGTGAGGGATACAGAAGACCTATCGATTAAAACTGGCGCTCAAGCAGGGCCTGGCGTGGCCCAGGACAGGTTCCCTGATTCATCCAGATTAGGGACAGATTTGATTTTGATTCTTTTAAATTAGTTATTCCTAATAAATAGAATATATTTGCAATAATAGAAATTGCAAACTTTCGCGTACAGAAATTTTAAACTGGCCCTGACAGGGCCCACGTGGGGAAGCTTCGAATTCGTATAAAACACTGAAATGAGTAAGGGACTACAAGAGAAACTCTATTTTTATGAAAATAGACTACAACCGGGGCCCAAGCAATGCCTAGTGTGGCCCCGGTTGGTTTCCTCGTTTCGTCCAGGTCAGGACCAGGTTAGCGAATTTATGCACAAGTAAATAGTTTCTTCTGTGGTCGTGCCTAGATTTTAATCGAAATGGGACTTTTTCAACAGTACCAGCGGATTTAGTGTTCCATGCAAATTTAGGGCTTCCCAACCTGGGCCCTACCAGCGCCCGTTCAGAATTTCTGCATAGGAAATGAATATTTCTATATTCTTTTAAACCAGTTTTACCTAGCAAAAAAAATTATATTTGCAAATAATAAACTTTGCAACATTTCCGCATAGAAATTGTAAACGGGCTCTAGCAGGGCTCTGGTAGGGAGGTCCCAAATCACTCAATCCTGTTGAGGGAGCCACAGAAGGAATCCTACTTTGATTAAAAACGGCAACGGACCAGCACCTAGTGTGGCCCCAGTCGGGCTAGGCAAAAAAAACTCAACTAGGGCGAAACCGGGCTCTGATTAGGCACCGGTTTTAATCGAAATAGGACTCCTCTCGTGCCTACGGGTTTTTTTTTTACTGTTTCAAGCAGATTTCGCAGTTTTTCTAACTGGGCCCTGTCTTGGCCCGCATTTCAAAATTTCAAACACCGATTTTTAAATTGAAAACAAAATTTTTTTCTATATAGAAAAAAGTGATTTTCTTACAATATTCTCTATTTCACAAAATATATTTAGAAGATTATTTTCCTCTGAATAGGAAAAAGAAAGTTGATCCAATCGCATATAATATAGGAGTAAAAAGTGTGTATATATATATATATAGTGAAGGAAGCCGTTTAACGATATTTCACGGGGTTCCCTCGTAAGAGGTTCCACGTCGCAGTATTACCGAAGGCAGTCTTGCAGAGTGGAGATAAGAGAAGCTGCTTGCCTCTCGGAGGAGTTGTGAACGGAAGGCTAAAGGAGCTCTCTCTCTCTCTCTCTCTCTCTCTCTCTCTCTCTTCTTCGTTCTGATTTTGAGAAAGCCGCGAGCAGGCATCCGCCATACAGCACCTGTCGTCGCCATGAACTCAGTTAATATCTGCTTATCCGGATTTCGCATCCTTATCCCTATATATATATATACTATATATTCCCAACCCCCTCTTTCTCAACAAAACCCTTCGATCAAAAAGTTAAAAAATCATCATCTTATTTCATAAATCCCTCTTTTAATCGATATTTATTCGATAATTATATTCTCGTGTATAGAAATTTTGCCTAAACCAGGGCCAAAACTGGCGTGTATAAATTTGGCCGATCAGGCGTTTCAAAAGACATTTTTCGAGACAAATATGAAAATTTCCACACGCGGTTTGTTATAGTTAAAATTAGCTTTTTAGACACAATTTGAAAATTTTTTTTTTTTTTTATCAGAAAAAACAAATTTTAAGTGTAATTAGTGGCAATTTAACAGTAGAGCACGTGTCACCAACTAGAAGCTAATCCCTACAAAGTGGGGTGATGCGCACTTCTTCCAATTAGGAAAAGGAAACCCCAGACTTGTTACTTGTTGCCCCTTTTGAAATTTCGCAAAAAGGAACGCACACGTGTTCAAATTACATCCTCTCTCTCTCTCTCTCTCTCTCTCTCTCTCTCTCTCTTTTTCTTTTTTTTAAACTCCCATAGGTGAAAATTAAATTTTCTACATTTGTTATTAATAGAAAAAGCGTCTCGTCGCAATTCTATAAAAAAAAAAAATTATCACAAAAAACACATATATATATTGAAAATATTTAATAAAAAAAAAAAGAGGAAAAAAAAAAAATGAGCCGTGTGTCTCGGTATCCTCGAACCCCGTTAATGAACGCAACCACCTTGAACTGGCAAAACGGATGAACGAGCGGGCGGGCAGGCAATAGGCAGGAAAGCAGCAGTAGACACGAGGGGCAAGAAGAAGAGCAGTAGCCACTAAAAGGGGGTGTCCTCTCTCTCTCTCTCTTTCTCTCTGTGAAAGCACCCTCCGTGTCCCCGACACCCCCACCCCCTTATCGTCGGCGTCTGCTTTGGTTCCTTTTCCACTCGCCACCGCACCACTCTCTAAAGGGCCTCTCTGTCTCTCTCTCTCTCTCTCTCTCTCTCTCTCTCTCTCTCTCTCTCTCTCTCTCTCTCTGTGTGCGTGATAAGCTTGCAGCTATTGACGCCTCGCTGATCTGACGCGATTATATATACCTATATATATATATATATATATATACACTTTATATGTATATATACTCTCATCTCTTTGCACGTTTATTTCATATACCTTTTTTCGCGGTTTTTTGTATACGACGGCTAAGTATCCTATATGCCAACAAAACTAAAACGAGAGAAAAGAAGATGCGCTACTGATGCGGCTGTCTCTATATACATGTGTGGGTGTGTATATATATACTTAACTATATTCTCATGTATAGATATATATATATTAAAAATAAATAAATTAAAATGTAGTGCAAAAAATATTTATTATTTTATAACTATAGTTTTTAATTCACGATAATAATAATAATAATAATAATAATAATAATAATCCGCTTTGAAAAAAGGCAGATTTATACACAACTTATTGATTTACAAAATATATATATGGGGTGTGTTCCATTTGAGTATTTCATTTAAAAAATTTTCTTTTTACTTTTTAATATTTTTTTGCGAAATCATCCCGTGCAGAAATTTTAAAAGAGCCCTGGCAGGGCCCACGTCGGGAAGCTCCAAATTCGCATGTAACAGAGAACCCGATCGGGGCCCTATTTCAGCCTGATTAACCCTTTGCGGCATAGTGACACTCCTGAGTGTCACCTTTTTTCTTGCACTTTTTTGAATACTTCAGCCACTATTTTACATATTTCAGTAACAAAATGTATTTAAAATGTATTTTAGAATATCTATTACAATATATAACTACATTAAAAAAGTGTTTTTTATAAATAAAATAAATGTTATAAACAAATTAAGTTTAAAAATAGCGTTTTTTTTACAATAAATGTAATTGTGACTAAACAACAATAGGAAATAACCTAACAATAATGTCTATAAAGTTTTCAAGGTCGCTGATTACGAATCTGGCATCAGATTTTCAAAATTCAAAATGGCGTATCCAATATGGCGGATGACAAAATGAAAAATTGATCGGATTTCCTTGAAACTTGTAACTCGTGGGTTTTTGGGGGCGCTGATTACGAATATGACGTTAGATTTTCAAAATTAAAAATGGCGGATGACAAAATGAAAAATTGATCGGATTTGCTTGAAACTTGTTACTACGGTGTTTTTGATGTCGCTGTTTATGAATATGACTTTGGATTTTTATAATTCAAAATGGCGCTTTTGTGTGTGTGTCTGTGATCAATTTTATCAATTTTAACAAAATTGTCAGCTATATTGGATCCGCCATTTTGAATTTTGAAAAACTGACATCGGATTCGTAATCAGCGACCCCGAAAACCCCTGAGTAACCAGTTTCGAGCGGATATGATCAATTTAAAAAAAATTGTCCGCCATATTGGATCCGCCATTTTGAATTTTGAAAATTTTTTAAATCTGGCTTCGGATTCGTAATCAGCGACCCTTAAAAGCCCCTATAATGCACTTCAAAGATAAATTCCTGTTAAAGAAAAATGTATGCTTCAAAGGGTTAAAATTGATTTAATCCGACGAGCACCTGGTTTGGCCCCGGTCGAGTTCCCTGTTTCAGCCATGTCAGGACCAGGTTGGCGAATTTCTGCACGGCCCGTGTGGAAATTGCCCTACCAGGGCCCTAATAGGGAATGAAACTCTACAGCTGATCAGGGCCAAATTAGGGCGACCGGAAAATGTGGATTTCCTAATCAGAGCCACATTAGACGCAGCGTTTCATTCCCTAATAGGGAAGCCTAATTCGGCCCCGATCTGGGCCCTGGCAAAATTTTTACATGTATTTTATGATTTTTCAATTCGACGTATAGAAAAATAATATATTTTGACTCATTACAAAATTTTGTTTATTCCAAAGTAAATTTTAGTATTAAGACAACAAAAATCCTTATTTCTAATTTTGGTTGCGTTAACTAACGTTTGATTAAATTACCATTTATTTGTTAAGGCAACAAAAAACTGTTTGGTTGCTTAAATACCAACCGAACATTTTTTGTGTTGTCAAAATCGCAATTAACCCTTTTTTCAGGGCTCAAAATAAATATTTATTTAGTTTAAAAAAATATTTATTTAGTTTAAATAAAAATATTTATTTAGTTTAAATAAAAATTTTATTTAGTAAAATAAAATATTTTTCTGGGTAGTGTAAACAACTATTTTTTTTTTAAATAAAATTAATGATATTTACATTTACTTGCGTGTATATATTTAAAAAATATACAACCAGGGATTAGTTTGAAGAAAATATTTAATTTTTCTCTCTCTATATATGTATATATAATGATAAAAACTGAACAAACGTTTTTTTCTCTGTGGATGCTGTGTATATAGATAAAATGACAAAATAACCTACCCGTAAACGAGAAAATTAATAAGATCAATGGAATACACTACAGTGGCGCATAGAGTACAAAAAATACCGATAAACAGCAAAAAACTTGATGCATACAATTTCCACTTATAACGTCCATATTCATCAATATTAACAACAATATAAAGAATAACTGGTATAACAGCACCTAAAACACCCAAACAAATTGCTCCAACTAATCCGGTAAAAATTTCAAGTCTTGGCACAGCAGCACCTAATCCACCTATATATATATATATTTATTATACGCATATAATTACACGGAAAAAAAGAAAAAAGAATTTTTACTACTTTCATAGTAAAATGGGAACTGTCCGAAGTTTCTGCGCATCTCTGGCAACTTTTACTCCAAAAATAGTAAAATTTACTCCAGAAATAGTAAAATTTACTACAGAAATAGTAAAATTTACTCCAGAAATAGTAAAATTTACTACAGAAATAGTAAAATTTACTCCAGAAATAGTAAAAATTATTACAAAAATAGTAAATTTTACTATTTTTTGAGTAAAAGTTGCCAGAGATGCGCAGAAACTTCGGACAGTTCCCATTTTACTATGAAAGTATAGTAAAAATTACTTTTTCTTTTTTTCCGTTTATAAGAAAGTTTTTTTCTCGAAAATTATTATTTTATTCTCTCAAAATCTGAATTACTAATTTTTAGTCGTTTTTTCACTAAAACTTTAGCAAAATAAAATAGGAATATTTAACTAAAATTAGTAAAAATTTATAGTAAAAACTAAAACTGCAGTAGTTAAACAAATATTACTAAATCAAATAGTAATATTTTATTAAAAATTAGTAAAAATTTCTACTAATTTTTAGTCAATTTGCGATTACTAAAACTTAAGTAAAAAATATATTACTAAATTAAATACAGTAATATTTGACTAAAAATTAGTAGAAATTTCGAATTATTAATTAGTGATCGAATTCTTACTAATTCAAATTTAGAAAGTATAATATAATATTTAAATTAGTGGTATATTATTTCAAGAGTTTTTGTTAATAAACTAAAAGAATTTCGAATGTAAATAATAATAATAAAAAATTCATATATATTACATGTAACTACTGTCACGCCAAAACGAAGGAAAAAAAACCAAAGGAATTCTGTTCTTTTTTTCGAAGTGGAACGTTCAATAGAATCAATAACATATTTTTCATGTATTATTAAAACTGGTAAATAACACATAAGTCCATAGGTGAAATATATTGATAACACTTGCATAATAAGAGCTGCTAATGTTGCTCTAAAAAATAAAAATTAATAATAATATAATTTTTTTCAGATTTTTTAAATTTTAGATTCCTAATTTTAGAAATTCCTAAAAAAAAAATTTTCCAAAAAATGCAAATTTCTTTAAAAAAATTTCCTAACTGAAAATTCCTAAAGTTAATAAATTTTTCTAATTTCTTAATAATTTGAATTAAAAATTTTAATTCAAAACTAATTCATTAATAATTCAAATAATTCAAAAATATTGAATTTTAATATATTTTTTTTTTTTGTTACTAAAATTTTGTTACTAAAACATAATTATGAGGGTCAAATTTTCAAGATATTTCAGAACTATATGAAAAAAAACTGCAGGAAAAAAAAATGAGAAAAATTGAGTTAGGAAAAATAAATTAGGAAAATGTTTTTAGGAAAAAATTATTATTAGGAAAATGTTTATAGGGAAAAATTATTATTAGAAAAAATTGTTTTTAGGAATAGGTATGTAATTAGGAATTAAAAAAATTAGGAAATTCGTTTAGAAACTAACTTTCTTCTATTATATATAAAAATGATTAATTTTGCAGAAATAAAACTAGAATTATGGTTAATCAAAACAAAAAAAAAAACAAAAAAAAAAAAAAAAAAAAAGCATATAAATTCTTACGCGTCAAGTTCTGGATGATTTCGAATAAAATTTGCATTTGCATCTTGACCCCATTTGGCATAAACGGCACCACTAATGATAGAGTAAAAAATCATTACAAAAATCATTCCCAAATCAAGAACACCACATGGCTTTTCATAATTCCAAGGTTTTTTCATGTTTCTTTCAATTTCCAATATCTGCGAATATGTATATATATATATATATAATTAAAAAACAAAAAATTGATAAAACTAAATAATTTTTTATATTAATAATAATAATAATAATAATTAAAGGAAGTTGTTGTGACCCAATTTTTAATAGTATACTGTAATAATAATAAATAAATAATAATAATAAATAATAAATAAATAATAATAAAATAAATTAATAAATAATTATATAATCACAGAAAATTAATTATATAGTTAAATTATTATTATATAAATAATTAATTAAAATATAATAACTGATATATTTTCCTCTAATAGGGAAACAATAATGATTCTAATTTAGAATTTGTTATATCTTGAACTAAGTATTACAATATAAAAAAAAATTGTCGAAAATTATAAAAATCCGAAATTGCCGAAATTAATGAAAAAAAAAAAAAATATATGTTACCAATCCCGGTGAGCAGAGACTAAAAAATATTGCTCCAATGAATCTTGGATAAACTTTTAAATCAGGTTGAATTGACAGCCAGGTATTGCCAAAACCATCTTTTACAGCGTAAATAAAACCAATTCCACATGAAATTATAACAAATAAATTGCCCATTATTGACAATGGCGTTATGTCATTCAAATTTCTCATTAAATTAACAATAAACAAAAATGGAAACAACATCAATGCATAAGTTCCCTGACCAATATGTTTTTCAGGATCAATTATTTCTTGAATAATTCCAGAAATAAAAACCACATAAACTGAGGAAATTCCAATGTACGAAGCAAATAGAGTTATGTTCACCAAGAGTCTAAATTGCACGAGAAAAATTAAAAAATTAAAAATAAAAACAAAATAAAAATTACCCAAAAAAAAAATGTTAAGTAAAAATTGCATAAAAAAAAATTCTTTCAAATGTTAATTCGAAAAACGATAATTCTAAAAAATAATTATTCTGATTTTTATACGAAATTCAAAAATGAATTTTAAAATTTTAAAAATGCCCCTTTTTCAAAATACCAAAAGTAAAAAAAAAAAAAGAATGACTTACACCAAAAACCTAGCGATTTTTGTATCCTTCAATGCACCAGTCGCAAGAACACTTTCACAGAGTTGTTCATATGTCAAGAATGATTTTTTTTCAATAGTACACATTTTATAATGAGTCTTAACTAACATGTGAAGTGTTATGGTGAGACAAATTCCAAGAATAAATATACCAACTATTCCAGGATACATTCCAACAGCAACAAATGCATTGGGTAATGTAAAAATACCAGTACCTATTGCACTTTTCACCATATTCGCCAATGAGCCAAAATCTCTAGAAAATATTTATGGCAATTTAATTTATCATAATCACAGGCCTCGGATCGACTTAAAGGCACAAAAAAAGTCGTTTTAGTCGATTTATATTCCAAAAAAAGTCGAAAAAGTCGATTTTTTTTTATTTTAACAAAAATATTTTATAGATTTTTAAATAAAAATTTTTTTTTTTTTAATAATAATTTTGGAAGAGTTAAAGTTAAAATTTTTAGATATAATTGAATTTCAAAAGATTCTGTTAATTTTCAAACAATAAAATTAAATTTTACAGAACTAAAAATAATTTAACAAATAAGTTTAGATAACATTTTTTAAAAGTCATTGAATTTTCAAAGATTTACAATTTAGATTTTTGTAATTAATTGAACTTGAAGTGATTTTTAATTAAAAATTTTTGATGATTTTACTAAAAAATTTATTAGAAATTGCGGACAAAAATACAATAATTTAAAAACCATTTTTAATTGAAAAATGATTTCAGATAATTGAATTTTCAAAGAATATTATAAAAATAGTTAAAAATAATTGAATTTCAGAGTTATAATTGAAATTATTAAATTTCAAAAAATTTAAAAAAAATTAAATTTTAGCTTTCAAATTCAAATTTTTGAAAATAATTGAAATTTTGGATATTAATTCAATTTTAGTTGATTTTTGATTGAAAATTTTGATAATAATTAATTTTAAATTGAAATTTTGAAAAATAATTGAATTTTATTTGATTTTAAATGGAAAATTTGAAAAATAATTGAATATTAGTTGATTTTGAATTTAAAATTTTGGAAAATAATTTAATTTTAATTGAAATTGTGGATAATAATTTAATTTTAATTGATTTTTGATAGAAAATTTTGATAATAATTAATTTTAAATTGAAATTTTTGGATAATATTTGAATTTTATTTGATTTTGAATTAAAATTTTGAGTAATAATTGAATTTTAGTTGATTTTGAATTGAAATTTTTGAAAATAATTGAATTTTATTTGATTTTGAATTGATTTATGATTTTGAATTAAAAATTTTTGGTAATTTTATTTTATATTTTTTTAAAATTATAAACAATTGTTTAATTTTATAAAAATTTTAATTGAAAAATGGTTTCAGATAATTGAATTTGTAATGAATTTCATTAAAATTATTAAATATAATTAATTTAGTGAAGAATTTTAGTTAAAAATTTGTTAAACAATTGAAATAAAGAAGATCTGAAGAAGATCAGCATTATATACTAAAAAAAATATGTTTTATTTAAAATTTTTTTTTTTAATGTAAAAAAAGTCGAAATTGTCGCATTTTATTAAAATAAGTCGAAAAAAGTCGTATTTTTGAAAAAAAGTCGGAAATAGTCGAAAAAGTCGTATAATCCGAGGCCTGTAATCATTAAAAAAAAAATTGAGATTAAAAATTAATAAATAATTTTTCAAATTTTAAATATAAATATACGAGACACGTTTATTCGTTTCCTCTCGATGATCATAAGGATTGTATTCATCATTTTCATCGGATTGATTAGTTTTGACAACTGCCGGTGTTTCTGTCCTGATATTTGATAATTAATAAATTTTACTTTTAGCAAAAGATAAAAAAAATAATTAAAAATTACTCGAGGCTAAATAATCATATTAGTATTTTCTTTATATTTAATAACTTTTTTCCATTTTTTACTTACATTTTTAATATTTTTTTTCGATTTCTGTTTTATTTCTTTATTATTTTTGTTCTTTATTATTTATTTATTATTTATTTATTATTTATTTATTTTTTTTTATTTTTTTTTATTATTCTTGAAAATAATAAACAAAATGGAGAAAATTGTTCCGATTTGAGAAAATTAAATAACCAAAAAAAATGACGTTTCTTTTTTTGACATTCGTTTTTTTTTTTTGTTCGAATTTTCATAGGTTACGTATATTTGAAGTTTGGTTAAACTTTTCAGAAAAGAAATTTAGAGACTTTGACAAAAAGAAAATTTATAAATTATAAACAAACAACTTAATAGGTAATATTTCTAAAAGCATATAATTTTGTAAATTTTAATGCTCTTATTTATATGAAAACCTTTTTTCTTTTTCAAAAATCTATATGTCAAAAATAATTTTGTAAATATTAAAATTTGCTTTTTTTTTTTTAATTATTATTTATCGCTATACAATTTGCTATCAATGGTAAATATTTCTGTACTTTTTTTCGTAGAATTTTCAGATAGAACATATTTAATTCCCGATAAATTATTTGATAAACTAAAAAAATTTATTTAATTCAAATAAATCGGTTCTACTTGATTATTATTAAATAAATATTTACTCGAACTAAATAATTATTATTTGACTTAAATAAACTGTATTTTAATCAATAATTTTTATATTTAAAAACAAATGCCATTTAATTAACTCAAAAATTAAAATTATTTGGTTTAAGTAAATATTTATTTGATAATAATAATCAAGTAACCGATTATTAGAATCAAATAAATTTTTTTTCATGATAAAATTAATATCTTAATTTATTAATTATTATTATTATTATTTTATTATTATAATTATTATTATTAGATATATTGTATCATTATTATTATTATTATTCATTTATTTATTTATTAATTATTTTCTATATTTTTTCTAGAGAGAAAAAAATCAGCCAATGAAAAATAAATTTTTCAATCAAGTTATTTGAATTCCTCAAAACAATTAACCACTAAAGAAACACCAAATTATATTGAATTGACATGTGTGCTGTTCCAATTTTATTAATAATAATTCTAAGTTTTCTTCTTGTATTATATGGAATATTGGCATATTATAATCTAATATAAATAATAAAAAAAAATAAACTAATGTAAACAATAAAAAAATATAAATTAATATAAACAATAAAAAAAAATGTTATACACCCAGAGAAATTATAATATATATTTGTCTCAGAGTCTAATAAATATTTATTTGATTTAAATAAATATTTATTTGATTTAAAAAAAATTTTATTTGATTTAAATAAAAAATTTTAATTTTTTTTTTTTTTTTTTTAATTATTTACCAAGTTTTCAATTTAAAATCAAATAAAATTTTATTATTCTCAAAAATTTGAATTCAAAATTAATTGAACTTTCAATAATTTGAATTTAAAAGCATCTTAAATTTAATTATTTCTAAAATTTTCTATCGAAAATTTTTTTTTTTTGAAATTTAATAATTTCAATTATAACTCTAAGGAAATTCAATTATTTTTAACTATTTTAATAATATTCTTTAAAAATTCAACTATCTGAAACCATTTTTCAATTAAAAATGGTTTTCAAATTATTGTATTTTGTCCGCATTTTCTAATAAATTTTTAGTGAAATCATCTAAAATTTTAATTAAAAATCACTTAAAGTTTCAATTAATTTCAAAAATCTCAATTTTAAATCTTTGAAAATTCAATTACATTTAAAAAATATTTTCCAAAAATTGTTTGATAAATTATTTTTAGTTCTGTAAAATTTAATAATTGTTTGAAAATTAACAATATCTTTTGAAATTTAATTATTTCTAAAAATTTCAACTCTTTAACCCTTCGAAAAGGATTATTATTAAAAAAAAAATTTTATTTAAAAATCTTTCAAATAGTTTTGTTAAAATAAAAAAGAAATCCACTTTTTTTATTTTTTGGAATATAAATCGACTAAAACGACTTTTTTTGTGTCTTTAAGTTGATTCGAGGCCTGTGTTTTTATAATTAATATTTAATAGGTATTCGTTGGCCCCTGGTACCTTAAAAATTAATTTTTAAAAATTAATTTTTTTCAAATTACTATCTTGTACGAAATTTCCTGGCGCATCTTTTTTCTCATCATAAATTTTTTGTATTTGTAAACAATTTTTGAATCAATATACAAGTTTAAAAAAAATTTCGTTGATAAACGTTGTGTACTTCAGCTTCGTGAATTGAATTTTCGAATTTGGAATTTTAAAGAAACTTATTCCGAAATTTGGAAACATAATTATACAACTTTGGCAAAATTGAGAAAAAGAATTGTCAAAATTTGAAACGTCATAAGATTACTATTCAAAGAAACACGTGAAATCAGAAACACAGAAAATTAAAAGTCATTAAAATAAGCTGCAACGCTTATTATTTTAATGCCTTTTAATTTTCTGTGAAAGGCCAACTTCAAGTTAAGACAGAAGGACAGACCAAGCATTTTATTATTATATAATTTAATTTGTGTTGGATTACTAAAAATTTAAGACACTTTTTCCTAAGTATACCAAAAAAGTATTACCTGGAGTGAAACTTATCTCTGTTACAGTTAAAGCTTTCTTTTCGTATACAATAAATTACAAAACTGCCAGTACTCGGCCAGTACTGAACCAGCAGTGGTTACCAGTACTGGTGCCAACACTGGTAGCCAATACTGGTAAAATGTTATCATCCCAAAGTTACGCCAACTCTGGCGCCAATACTGGGTGCCAGTACTGCGCCAGTACTGCGCCAGTAGTAAATTTTTGATTGGGTTGTTTTATAGATTCTGTATTGTAAAAAAAAAATTGTGTCATTTTGAGGATTATATATTGTAATCCGTAATGGAATTGTACAAGCCTGTTAAAGAGAGAGAGAGAGAGAGAAAAAAAAATATCCGAAAAGAGTGAAACGAAGCGACGAAAAGAGGCTAAAACTATATTGTCATGTGCAGGAGATTTTGTTACGAGACATCGCGCTCATTCTTAAAAATGTTGTTCGAATTGTGTTGAATTATGGTCGATTAACCATTATTAGCATATATAGAGGGCGGTTAATTTCTGCGGATCCATTTACATCGATCCTAATGGTATATTGTATAGTGAGATCTTCTCGCTCGGTTGGTCCACCGAAAACATACACACACACTCACACACATATATACGTGAAGTTGACCGACTTAGTACAAACGCACCACAGGATTCCCATGAGGAGATTTAACGCCTCGTAGATCGTAACATATTTATTCTTTCTCTCTTTCTCTCTTTTTCTTTCACTCTAAATTTGTAACCGTATTTCTTTTGAAATTCATCGCATCAGGACTCCAAAATGTCACAACATGGTATTTTCATTTTGTGTAATTGAATTTTTTTTTTTTTTTAAAACAGTTCATATTTTCATTTGACCGAAATTATGGACAAAAACAAAATATAACCTATAAAAATGGATTTTTAATTTTTCTTTACTTCAGCAAATTTTATTGTTGATAGAATTATTAAAAAATGTTTCGAATTTTCGATTTGGATAAAAATTGAAAATGCCAGAAACAAACATAACCTAAAACAAATTTAGTTAAAAAGATTTTGGCGGGAATTTTAATAGATTATTTTAATATGACGTTATTCTGCCTGCCAGATAGTAATTTTGCGCAGATATTTTTTTTACCGACATCTATATATGTATGAAAATCAGTGTTGTTATTATTATTATTATTATATATACGTCGGTAAAATAAATACATCTGCGCAAAATTACCACCTGGTAGGCACGATAACGTCACATTAAATTAATCTATTAAAATTCGCGCCAAATTTTTAACTAAAAAATGTTTTTTGTAGGTTATGTTTGGTTTGGTCATTTGCAATTTTTGTCCGAATCGAAAATTAGAAGCGTTTTAATAATTCTATCAAGAATAAAATTTGCGGAAACAAACGAATTAAAAATTGTTCAAAATTTTCATTTTTGTAGGTTATGTTTGGTTTGGTCATTTGCAATTTTGTCCAAATCGAAAATTCTCAGCGTTTTAATAATTTAATCAATAATAAAATTTGCTGAAACAAAAAAAAAAAATTGGGACAAAAAAAGAAGCACAAATCGATGAATTAAAAAATTTTCTCATTTAAAAATTAAAAAATGAGAATTCTGCTAAATTAAAAAATTCTGTTTTAATTTGTTTATTTTTTATTATAGGAGTAATTTTTAAAAAATGTATATTGACCCAAAAAACGATTTCGTTCATTTAAACTTTCATATTATACTCTCTAAACTTGAATTAATTAAAAGTTACTAATTATTAGTAAAAATTGCGCCTCACTTTTTGTTTCATCAAAAAGTAAAAAATAACAAAATTAGTAAAAAAAAAAAAAAACTAATAATTAGTTAAAAAATAATTTGAAAAATAAAGTCAATTTTTACAAATTGAATTAATATAGAATTTCTACTAAAAATTTAGTAATTATTTGTAAATCTATAGCAATAAATTAGTAAAATCGAGACTCACTTTTTGTTGCATAAAAAAACAACAACTAATTATCAGTTAAAAAAATAACTTAAAAAATAGTAAATTTTTACTAATAGAAATAGTAAAATTTTCTCCCAAAATTTTAGTTATTTTGTCATAACCTAAAAATGAATTAGTCTAATAATTTGCTATTTTTAACTAAATAAGTATGGTAAAAACTAAAAACATTACTAACTGAATTAGTTAGTCTTTATACAACAAAACTATTATCTTTTAACTAATTCAAAAGAGCGCTCTAAATCTGAATTAGTAAAAATGTTGACTAATTTAAATTAGTGACTCACTATTTGCTTTAGAATTAGTTTAAATTTTACTAATTGTTAGTAAAAGTTACTATAATAATTAGTAAAATTTTACTAATTGAGAAGCAAAAAGTCAGTCACTAATTCAAATTAACTTTTTTTACTAATTCAGATTTAGAGAGAGAGTAATAAAATTCCTTCAAATGAAAATCCATCCTAATTAAATAAAAAACTAATTAAAAATAAAAAAAAACTCACTGGAAAATCAATCTTAATTCACCAAAAAAAAAAATTACCGCGCCCATAAATATATATATTATATATGCAA